TTTGGGGGTCTGGATCTGGCCAAGTGGGTAAAGGCTGAGGCTGGTCAGAGTTGAGCCTCTGCTGCCCGCGCCCCAGGCTGAGTGCCACATGCGGCCAGGCCGGGTGACTCATGGACCAGGGCAGGCTGTTGGGAAACAACCGGGCAGAGGGCAGAGGGCAGGTCCAGCCCCAGTTGGCAGCCCCACTGTCTGTCTTCCCAGGGGGGGTGGCCTGCCTCTCTCTTCAGGGGCAGGTGGCAAAAGTCCCAACTGTGGACCGGGCCCCCTGCTGGACACTGGGATTCCTCCAGGGTGGAGGGGATGCCACTAATCGGTGTGCCCAGAGACACTGGCATGGAGCCATGGGGAGGTGCTAAGTCCGGGAGTGCTGGCCCCTGACCCGTGGCCCTGTGCCCCAGGCGAGGCCGGTGCCAACATCATCGAGGTGTCTAAGGAGGCCCGGAAGCGGTTCCTGGGCCCGCTGCACCCCTCCTTCAACCTGGTGAAGACCATCCGCAGCTGCCTGATGAAGACCCTGCCCGCCGACAGCCACGAGCGCGCCAGCGGGCGCCTGGGCATCTCCCTGACCCGCGTCTCGGACGGCGAGAACGTCATCATCTACCACTTCAGCTCCAAGGAGGAACTCATCCAGGTGGGCCCTGCAGGGGTCACCCGGGCACCGCCGCCCCGAAGCCCCGCTCACCGCCCGCTCTGTCCTCCCGCAGGCCAACGTCTGCAGCACCTTCATCCCCGTGTACTGCGGCCTCATCCCGCCCACCCTCCAGGGCGTAGTAAGTGCATGTGGGTGCCTTTTCTGGGTGACGAGACCTGCCGGGCGCTGAGGGACGAGGGTGAGGAGGAAGCTGTCCCCCAGCCCCTCGCTCCTGCCAGTCCCTGTTGCCTCACTTCCCCGGAGTTACTCAAGAGCCAGGCCAGCCCGTGGCCACTTACACTTCCTGTAACTGCGCCCCGCCCCCCGCCCCAATGTCTGGCTATTTCTCAGCACCCAGGGCGGCCGTGGCCGGTGCCTAGTGTGTGAAAGGCTCAAATGAAACAGCCACTGGGAGGGGCCCGTGGGGCAGCCAGCCACTCTGCCGGCCCCTCACCGTGTGACCGTGTGTCCCTGCCCCTCAGCGCTATGTGGACGGTGGCATCTCAGACAACCTGCCGCTCTATGAGCTCAAGAACACCATCACCGTGTCCCCCTTCTCGGGCGAGAGTGACATCTGCCCGCAGGACAGCTCCACCAACATCCACGAGCTCCGGGTGACCAACACCAGCATCCAGTTCAACCTGCGCAACCTTTACCGCCTCTCCAAGGCCCTGTTCCCGCCCGAGCCCATGGTGAGCTGCCTGGTTTCGCCTCCTCCCCTAGTCCTGGTCCTGGGGAGAAAGCTGCCCCTCTGACCACTCCTGAGTGACAGGACGGGGGGCCGGGACAGCCCCTGCTGAGGGCTGGGAAAGAAGCCTGTGGTCTGCAGGACCTCTCCACGGGGGCGGCCTCTCCAGCCTGGATCTGTCCCGGGTCCTGGATCCCTTAGCTTGTGGTGGGGAGGGGTGGGGTTTGCAGGGACCCCAGGGACAGACGGGGTGTGTCTGACTTCCTGCTCCCACTTCCCTGCCCTCAGGTGCTGCGAGAGATGTGCAAGCAGGGCTACCGGGACGGCCTGCGCTTCCTGCGGAGGAATGGTGTGTGGGGCCGGGCCCTTGGGGCGGGGGGCTCTGCACCATGGCCCCCTCCGCTGAGCTGACCACATGTTTGGTCCTCCCCACCCAGGCCTCCTGGATAGGCCCAATCCCCTGCTGGCACTGCCCCCTGCCAAGCCCCCTGTCCACCAGGATGAGGACCAGGAGAAAGCTGTGATGGTAGTGGAGAGGGCTCTCGTGGAGGACCACATCCTGGAACATCTGCCTGCACGGCTCAATGAGGGTGCGTGGGGGGGCACGGCTCAGTGAGGGTGCGTGGGGGGGCACGGCTCAGTGAGGGTGCGTGGGGGGGCACGGCTCAGTGAGGGTGTGTGGGGGGCACGGCTCAGTGCGGGTGGAGGGCCATGCGGAGGGTGGTGGAGCAGAGCAGGGCTGTCCCCACCTCCCCCACTGGTGGTCAGCCTCCCTCTTGCTCCCCCCAAGCCCTGCTGGAGGCCTGCATGGAGCCCAAAGACCTGCTGACCACACTCTCCAACATGCTGCCCGTGCGCCTGGCCACAGCTATGATGATGCCCTACACTCTGCCCCTGGAGAGCGCTGTGTCCTTCACCATCCGGTACAGGAGGGGGGCGGGCAGGAGAGGAGCCTGGACCAAACTTGGGTACCATTCCTGGGGGTGGTCACCCTGGGGAAGAGGCAGCTGGTAGGGGGAGGATAGAGATGTCAGGGCCAAGGGTGGGGCGTGGGCAAGGGACAGGCCCTGACCCTGAGGCCGTGCCTCCCACCCGCCCAGCTTGCTGGAGTGGCTGCCCGACGTGCCCGAGGACATCCGGTGGATGAGGGAGCAGACGGGCAGCATCTGCCAGTACCTGGTGATGCGTGCCAAGAGGAAGCTGGGCAGCCGCCTGCCCTCCAGGTAAGCAGTGGCTGCTGTGCTCACGGGGGCCACAGCCTCACTGTAATGGCCAGCTGAGTGCCTGGCTCCCGCCTTCCCAGCCCCCCGGGTCCCAGTGCTGAGGGCCAGGCCCTCCAGCTTCCCTGCCCCATGAGGCGGGGCCCTGGGGTCATCTGAGACCCCCTCCCGCCTCCCTCCATGCCTGGGGGAGGGGGAGATGGGCCTCACAGCTGGGAGAAGGGACTTGGCTGTCAGCTCCTCCACAAACCACTCACTTGCTGCACTGAGGAGGCGGGGTGTGCAGCGCCCCTCCCCTCGCCACAGAGGGCCCCTCACCTGTGCCTTAACATCCACTCCCGGCCCGCCCTAGGGCAAGGCAGGGGCCTGGTGGTCTGGGCAGTATTACTCCCTAGAACTTTGCACCTGCTCCTCCCTCCGCGTTTTTCACTGGAGAATGCTGAAGACTGTGTGAAGAATTATTTATTTTCGCTGAAGCAGATGTAATAAAGGCCACAGCTCAGCCCCTGCGTCCTCCTTGTATGTGACCCCCTCTAGCTGACCAGTGTGGGTACAGCTTCCATCCCGGCTTCCAAGGGTCCCTTCTGCTGAGGCCAGCATTCCGGCCTGGGCCCCCCTGGGCTGCAGCCCACTCCTCACATCCATTTGCCCCCCTTTGCCCTGAGGCCTGCTGGCTGACCCCTGGGCGCAGCTTCCCAAGGGCCAGTGGAAATATTTGAGACCAAGATCCTCGCTGAATAAAAAACAAAGACGTGTTTACAAAAGGTGGTGTCTGCACCTCCACTCTGGTGACGGGGTGGGGGCCGCGGAGGGTGGGGTTCCCCCGGAGCAGGGCTTTGTGTGCGGGCTGGGCCTGCCTTGTCGTCGGAAGCCTTGCTGGCCACGTGCACACATGTTCCTGCTCCCCTGAACCCCTCCTCATCCTCAGGGGCCCAGGCTCCTGCCAGTACACAGGAGGGGCCTGGGATAGGGTGAGGTCTGAGCTGGAGGGGCCGGACCTGTTCTGGGAGAGACATGGTTTCCTGAAAGTCCCCTCGGCTCGGGGCAGTGGGGGAACTCCGCCAGCCCTCCCCGATGACCAGGAGCCCAGGGGGTGAGGGTGCGGGGACAGCCTGGTGTTTGGCTAACGTTCCAGTCGGTGGTGGGGCTGCAAGACTGGGCGAGCCGGCTGGGCAGGTCCCGGGCGCTCCGTGTGCCAGGGGCCGCCCCCCCTCTGTCTCA